CATTCGTGAGGTTTGGGGATGGGAAAAACCATTGCTTGTCGCCATAAGTCGGGAATATCGGCTTTGAAAAAGCATGCTTGAATTAAATTGAGGAGTAAAGCCGAGATACAGGATCCAAGATGTTTAAGCATTTCATACGTAATCATGGAAGGACCTGAGGCTTTACCGTTAGGAGTAGAAGAAACGGTGGATAACCATTCGTCAAGGGTAGGGGGATCCATTAAAGAATCATAGATGGAGGAGGGCACATCATCCATAGGTTGATAGGCAGAGAACTATCGATCCGGTAGTGTATCGATGGATACCAGAGGAGTAGACTTTATAGGTACAAAGTTTTGGAAATGGTTAACAACAGCATCGTCTATGTCTTTAGGATCAGTTAGTAACTGAGGGTGAGTGGAATGATCGATAAAGACACGATCCAAAGTGATACGGCGACGAGTGCGAGAAAGCGCTGAATCAATAAAGGAGGAAAGGTCAGTTTCAAAATGGTTATTTCTATCATTCAAATGGACACGAATGGAGGAATCTTGAAAATCTTTTTCTTGAAGCAACTGAAATCCTCGTAAGGATTTTGAAATAATAGATAAATCATCAAGAAGTGATTTGAAATTATCTTGTCGACATGAAGAAAGAGAAGAGGGCAAAAGAGGAATGAAAGTAAATACATTCTTATATAATTGTAGAATGTTTTGAAGTCTAATTAAATGAGTAGACCACTTATATTCATGGGCAGCAGAATAAGTTGAAGGATGTTTACGCAATATACGTATCGAATGCATTAGGCGATTTAAAAACTGATAATGTTGAGTTAAAATTTCCAGATCTTTAGGGACCTTAGGGGTATAATTGTTGCCAACTATAGAAGAAGGTAAAGTAGCATTGCCAGCTTTGAGGATTCGTGATTGAAGATATTCGCACATTTGGTTGATATGCCAGGAGGAAAAGGTTGAAGGTGAAACATCACATAAAGCATCAGTTTTGTCAGCGAATTCCATCCATTGAATATCAGTTACAGTATCAAATTTGAAGACGCGACGGGTTCGGCACTTAAGTTGTCGAGCGCGAGCCAATTTGGTAGAGGCAAAAAGTAGAGACATATCATAGTATGTGATGACAGGGTTATGATCGGATGTGCAAATGTCTTGAGCATTAAAAATGCAAGCAGTAAGGGCATATCCTTTGAGGAGAGGGCAAGACCATACATAATCAACGCGAGTAATTTGGTCATTGCGATGAAAGGTGCCTAAGGAGTTGGAAAGATTAATAGGAGTATAGTCTTCATATCCATGAGAAAGGAGATGAAAAAATAATCGGTGAATATGTTTTGAAGCGATTTGAGGTTGATTAAAGTAAATAGGATAATATTTATCTAAATGCATATTAAAATCGCCACAAACAGCATGGTAAAACCCAGCTTGTTTAGTAAGGATAAGTTGTTGAATAAGCAAATCAATAGTGTCAGTGCGCAAAACACTTTCAGCAGGGGGAGGGATATAAATAACGAATATACGCAATTTAACATTGCCTTTAAAATATAAGTCAACAGAAAGCAAACGTGAAGAGTGGGATTGAAAATCTTGTACGTGTGAAGCAAAAGAATTTTCTATAAAAAGAGAAACACCACCAGAAGAAAGAATTTGTTTAGAAGTATCCAAATTAGAAGAGAACACAGTATAATTAGAAATGCGCTTGGATAAAAACTTCATTTGTTTAGGGTGAAGATGAGTATCAACGATACCACCAAAAGAAATATGTTTCAGGGAAAAGAAAGTAGAAATTTCATCTAATTTAATCTGACCATGCATTTTAAGGCCATTAACATTAAAGGAGGAAATATTGAATGAGTTGGGGATAGGAGAAGTGTTACTAGAGGAAGAAAATAACGATTCATGTGAAAAAAATTCCGTAACATTATCGGGGTAGAGAGGGTTTCGTACAAAGATGTCATAATTGAAATTATTGTCCGACATTAAAACACAGTGATAAAAACAGTCGGGGAGTTAAAATTTAAAGAAGAAAATTAAACGGAAGAAGCTGAATCAGCTTGTTCCAGGGGAGCACCACCAAGGGAGCCAATGAATTGTTTGATATGATCAGTGAGTTGGTCCAATTTACTTTCAATAACGACTCTACTATTTTTGAGATCGTTAATTTCTTCTTGCGTGGAGGAGAGAGGGGTAAAAGGAGGAGCATTTGGGGAAAGGTGAGAAGGAGGGAGCGACGTGTTAGGAACAATAGTGATTGTAGGCGAAGGTCGCGTTAAAATACTTTTGGGGGGCAAAGAAAATTTAGCAGAAGACTGAATAATAAGCGGAACATGAGTAACAGGGGCATGAAATCCGGTTCAGGCTCATTAGGCAAAGGAAGTGGATCGAGACCAAGGTGTGATTCAATACGAGACATCCGTTGGTCAGCAAGTTCAAGAGCGAAGATGCGTTTATGAAAGTTGGCTACTTCACATTGTAATTCACGCAAAAGGTTTAGAATGTTATTAGCATCATCAGGAGATAATGCAGAGTTAGGAGTTTGTCGGGGCAAGGGACGTGCTGTAGAACGAGAGGAGGAAGAAAAGGAGACCAATCGTTCTTTGCTATTATGGCGAGCACGTTGGGAGATATTGGGAGCGGGTTTGTCATAATTTTTATCATTATTAGTGCGGTCGTGGGGAATGTTGTTATCACGTCCAGAATTGGAAGCGGATCGATCTTTAGATTTGGAGCGAGATCGGGAGCGAGAACGTGCATTGGCAGTCTTTGAATTGGAGCGGCGAGGTTGAGTGATATTAAAACGTTCTTTGAGTTTTGCAACAGGGTCGCGAGTGCGACTTCTACCTCTAGTTTGTTTAAGTGGGCAGAAATTCAGAGCGCAACCTAATTTGCCACACCTGTGACAAAGTTTGTTAGTATTATCTGGGGAGGACCAGTAAAGTACATGGCCTTGGAAGCTAATAGTTTGTTCCATCGCAGCATCCATGGTTTCTTGGGAGTTGAAGGTGACGTAAGCCCATCTTTTGGGTTTATAAGAATTTAGAGAAAGTGGCACATTAACAGCTTTAGCGCCAAGATTACGAGTAAGAGGAGCCAAGTTGATATCCTTAACATTAGGGGGAAGCTGAATGAGAGTGGCGACATATTGACGGCGCGCAGCCTTTTGATCTACAGTATAGAAACATGGAGTGATTCTAAGGCAGGTGGAGAAACAGTATACAGCCCATTGATCGGTAAAACGAGCAATTGAATCGGCGTGATCATATACAATACGGGCTTGCTGGACTTTGGCATTGGACCTGGAGAAGAGGCGGCAAGAGGTGATATTACCAAATTTTTTAAAATAAGCCATCAGGTTGTCCTTTTTAATGAAAAAAGGAATATCGGTAACTTGGATGGCCCAGAGATCTTCATTGGATTGGAGTTGGCGAGGGTCATGTGCATGAAAGATTAAGTCAGGGAACTCAGAATGAGTGGAACCAACATACAAATCGCGTGCTTCAGCGGTATGAAAGTGGATAATGAGGCGTTTGGCTTCACCAGAACCAGTCATACGCGCTTTTCCAGTAAACAACTCGTAAGTTTCTAAAAAAAGGTTATTAACAGCCTCAATAAGGGCTTTATTGGTAGGGAATTTCTTAAGAGATTCAGGGGCAGCATTCGGCGCAGCCACAGCCTGAAAATCGTCTCTGGTTGGTTATGGCGAGGGTCACCACCGGATCTGGAGTTAGATCGCCATCTGGAGCACCATTGGTATCCAAATTGGGTGACGCGTTAGGGGGTTGTTGCAAGTCTTTGTTTGAAGGTGCATGCATGGACGTGTCCACATTTCCAGAAGACGCGACGTGACTGGGCGCAGATGGCGCAGCAGATTTGTTCGGGGAGGAGGTCAAAGTATTTTCGCCAGAGATATTTTGTTGAGGAGATGAGGAAGGGCCATCTACTCCAACGTCAGCCGTCTGGTTATCGGCAACGTAGTTTTCTTCCATAGAATTTTCAGTAATCGTACGATTACGTTTTTGCTGGACAGTATTTTCACCATTGGAGCTTGAATTATCAGAGTTGTTATTATTTTTTCGTTCTTGACGGGAAGCTTTCCTACTGTTAGGGTTATGACTTCCACGGCCTCTCTTGGCATAGTTACCAGACATAGTAGAGGGCTTTGAGTTGGGAATATATAAAATATAAAATTTTATTAGTAGCTTGTATTATTTTTTAAAAATAATAAAAAATTATTTTCGTCGGAAATTTTCGTTTTTGAAAAATTCAGGAGAGAGTTACTGGTCAAAAACCACTGGTCAAAAACCAATATATCGGGTAGCAGATATGTATCAGATATGTACCCGATATGTGTAGTATTAATGCAGAAAATCGGGTACCCGATATGTGTAAGATATATGTAAATATATATATCATATACATAT